TTGGTTAACTGAAATGTACAAATTGTATAGACTACGATTGGGTGCACACGTTAGTTAGCCATGGGATGTCAAATGGGCTGAGCGGCTCATCGGCTTGATCGTTCGACTCATGGGCGGATTTGACAAGCCCGAACTGAGCAAGGGGCTCCATTTTTAGGAGCTCGCGGGCGGTCAAAAAATGTGTGAATTTACAAAAAAAAAAATCAAAAAATCCAAAAAAAAAAATTTAAAAATTGAAAAATGACGAGCTCGCGAACGACTTGTGGTCCCGGCTCGGCTCAGCCCGCGAGCTCATGGCTCGTGAGCTCACAAGCCGTGGGCCGAACCAAAGCTCGAGCTCAGCTCGTCTTTCACGAGCCACGAACTCGTAGTTAGCACCCTCCATACCCTCCTCTAATGCTAATCTTGATCAAGAGGAGGAAATATTGAATTTATTGCATAACATTAGATATGAAATATTTGATGTAGGTTCTTCTGCTATGTCTCTTGCATATAATCAAAGTACATCGAACGTAGGTCTAGCTGGAACGCATGGAAATTATATAATTATTTTAGTAATTAAATGCTTAGAATTATAATTCCAGCTAATGCAATAGATTTTGATTTACTTGATTTTTGGAGATGTCACAAATGTAAATATCCCATTATTTTTGTGGTTGCATGTGATCTACTAATACCTCTAATTAGCACTGTAGCACCAGAGTCTGCTTTACTGCATGTGATCAAGTTCTGTCTGAATTCAGAAATCGACCCAAAGAAGATATTTAAGAAAGCTTAATGTGTATAAAGGATCGGCAAGAAGCTCATTTTCGAATCTAAAATAAGTATTGCCGAAATTGCTTGTAATCAGGTAAATGATATTTAATTTTGACATATTGATACATTTTTAATTACTTAGTAATATTATGTTGTTTGAAATAATTGTACACATGGTAAGTTGTTTGTGTATAATTTTAACTCTACCTACTCGAAAATTAAATAATCGATCTCAAGCTCGAGAAAAGGGGGAGCTTTCAAAAAGGCGAACTCGTGAGGCAAGCTCCCTTGAGGATGAATCAAGCTCGACCGGTCCTCCGAAACCTATTGCCACTCCAAAGTTACTAGCTTTGTGTTGTAGGAGTGACTTCGACGAGCCATATCAAGGTTCGCAGAACCTTTGGATTTCTTTGATGATGTGGCCCATATGTAACGTGTGACTTTTAAGTCTCACATGTCTCATGTGACATCCACATGAAAAGATAGTGACAAAAACTAATTAATCTTGTTTTAGTGCATGTGTGAGCTCTATTTTTTACTATAAAATATATTTTGGAATAGTAGATTGATGGAGAATGTATGACTAAAAAAACAAAGTTTTAGGTTTTCATGTAATATTATTTAATGAAGATTGTGGAGTTGGAGAGAAGAGAGAAAACAAAATGTTTTTGGAAGTACTGGGGGATCAAACAAAGGCTTAATATATATTATTACCTTAAAAAAAGTCATTTTTCTTCCTTTTTTATTGCTACTTTTTTCTTTTCATTTGGCAGTTCTTTAAATAATATTTTACAATCATGTTTGGTGCACATCATTTCTTACACTCTGCCACATAACATTATTGAATTTGACAGTTTGAAAAGTAGTTTTTCAAACAATTTCTCTCTCTCTCTCTCTCTCTTGTTATTTATTTAACAAGACAACAAATGTCATCCACAATATGAGGAGGAAGTGTAGAAATGGCACAATCCAATATTTTAATGAGCAATAATATTATTCATAATGAAAACTACCGATAGTCGCTATACATAACATACAAATGACATGTTTTTAATGAGAAATAACGTTATTTCTTAACCATACATTCTTTATCAATATACCACTTGATGTGAAACACATCAAATAATAACATGCCTTTTGTATGTCACGTAGGGCGACTATTGATAATTTTCACTATAAATAGTATTACTTTTTAACTAGACAGTTTTGTTTTGAAGAAATTACCTTCCAATTCATATATGAACTTCGTGTGATTGTGAACTGGTAATGATATGAAAGGTTCAAATTCTAGCTCCTATTTAGTTTAGATAAAAAAAAAATTAGTAAATTTTGATAAATATTTGATAGAATGTTTAGTTGAAAAGTTGTGTTTTATAAAATATGTTATTAGAATTAATTTTGACTTTGACTTAGACTTAAATTTTAATTTAATATTTTAGCTGACCAAAAAAGGATTAATGTGAATTACAAAAATAAAATCGAAATTGTAAATTGTAAATTAAATAAATTGTTCCATTCAATAAGATTCTAAATTTTAAACTTATAAATGAAACAGTAATTAGACAGAAATTCAAAATAAAGTAGTTCTGTAGTTCATTGGGAATTAATGAACGTAACATGGCAAACTTTGGTAATACTTGATTCGCAACTATATAGTAAGTAGCATATGGATTGGTTGAAAGTCGTAACGAGCAATTAATGGTATGAAAAAGACTCATCTCGACGCTCATTTACAGATTACAATAGAAGGGATGAAAAACTGAGATGGTTTCAAGACATGAGGAAATATATAAAATTCCAAATGGAAAACTATAAAGAAAAATAATACCTTAAACTATTTTTTCTAAACTATTTTTACTATCTTCTTAATTATAAATTTATGTTGACTTCTATTTTACAACAGATCCATTTTAAAAAGATTTATTTTTTATTCAATCACGCGGCTAGAAAATATAAAATCATGGAATGAGTTAAGAAAATTTCAGTGTAGAATTTGTCCTTCAAAACCATTTCTCAATTATTTCGGAATATCTTAGCAAAATATAGTATGGTATATATTACCTTGCTTGATGATTATTGAAAATTATGTTTCCGTGACCTTAGTATTGTGATCTTTGCTTTGTAGAAAGAGTTTCCTGAAAGTGGGTTCACTGCGAAACTTTAAATTGTAATCTTTATCGTATTGTGTATGTGTGTTTTTAGATCTTCCACATACAATATTTTTCTAACACAACATGCAGGTCTCCTCGTTGGAAAGTTTTAGCTTGATACTATAGGAATATTTCAAGGTCTCACAATATATATACACTTCTCGACTGTTATTGCTAGTACCAACTTTTGCAGAAGCACTTTAAACTCTATACAGCTAGTTGGAAGTCCTTATATGTAGATGTTTTAGTTGTTGAGTTGATTTCTCCAAAATGCATGCTACGGACAAACCAATGGAGTTGGATTTGCAATGTCCTTATCTGCTTGTGGTATTCAACTGTGGTGGTGGTGGTTTGGGTGGCCGGTAGTAGCTATGAGAAAATTGTTGCAAATTGAATTGATCCAAACCAAATATGTTTAGCTCGAATCGAATCTGTTTTGTAGAAGAAATAAATTTGATTTCTTTTGGTATCAGTCCACCCAACCCGATCCTTGCTCACCTCTAGACATGATCTTTTTTTAAGTATTAAAAAAATTTCTTAAACATTCTCCTAATTAAAATGAAAATACAACAAAATTGAAATGTGGGTTTTATACGATGTCCTATTGAAGAATCTATTAGTAAAAGCTAATAGTGCGTTTGGTGTGTTGTTTTCTAATTTTAATTTGCAAAATACTGAAAATATGTTTGATTTAATATTTTTTAAAATGCATTTTTGAGGATAAACTTGTAGCATAAAATTCAAAATGCGAGTATCCTCGGTGAAAATTCTAAAAACACTCAAAACATAAAAAATAATTGTTTAAAAAAAATGAAAATTCTAAAAACACTCAAAACATAAAAAATAATTGTTTAAAAAAATGAAAATTCTAAAAACACTCAAAACATAAAAAATAATTGTTTAAATAAAATTTTATTTAAATAATTTTTTTAAAAGATAAAATTGATAAATTCTTAAAAAAATTGAAAAAAATAAAAAATCAAATTCTAAAATGAAAAAATAAAGGAAAACAGTAATACCCAAATAAAAAGCTACGACAACAAACAAGATTCTTGTGTTTTATATATTTTAGGTCAAAAGTTTATTGATTGTTTTTTGTTTCTCATGCTAGACGGCTGATATAGGACAACTAGCTTTGGAGTTTGAAGAAGTGTTGGACAGAAAATTAACAAAGAAAAATCGCACCAGGGGCAATTTTGTCATTTGTCGCGACGGTGTTGAAATGGGCTGAAATTTGGCAGGTTGATTGGAAACAACCCGAGAAATTGGACTCGGGGCTGAGAGATCTCAGGATTTTAGCCAAATCCCTTCGTTTAGGCCGCCGAATAATTAATTTCTGTATTTCCCGTTTTGAATTTTTGCCATTTTTAGAACGTTTTATTTTTTCTATGTTTTAGGATTTCTTGTAACGCCTATTTAATGGCTTTTGGAACGTTTTCCATCATCATTGAATAATATACAAGTTTCATTCTTGGAGAATTCCAATTTTCTTATTTTCAAGATTTACGTTGGTGAATCTTTTATTTTTTCTTACTTCTGTTCTGTGTCAAGTGGTATCAGAGCGAGGGTTTGCCTTGTTCTTTAATGGCTCACAACAACGACGGAGGAAGAGTTCATCCTCATGACGCCGGTCGTAAGGAAACAGATGCGGAACTGTGGACGGCAATTGACGAATAGCGTCAATCAATGGGGTGGTTGGAGGCTATGGTTCGGCGTTTGTTAGAGCAGCAACCAAACCCTCTGCCTGTTAATGTTCCGGCCCCGGGTGAAGAAGATGCCAATGGTCGACCTGGTGGCGGGCGTCCTCATAGGGTTGTAAGAAACAGATAACCTGAAGATTTCAAGGATGTGGATTCTGAGGATGAATTTGATGAACACCCAAAAAATCGACAATTAAATCGGAATCAGTCTGATTAGAGGATTCGGGCAGACATACCATTGTTCCATGAAAAATTGTAGATCGAAGAATTTTTGGATTGGATTTCTGGGGTTGAGAGGTTCTTTGATTTTACTGAGGTTGCGGAGGAACGATAGGTGAAATTGGTAGCATATAAATTGAGAAGTGGGGCTGCTGTTTGGTAGGAACAGTTGCATATGGATATGCAACGTCGGGGCAAGGCACTTATCCGATCTTGGAAGTGGATGAAACAACTTATGATGAGCAGGTTCTTGCCACCTGATTATGAACAGTTCACATTTCAAAGTTTACAGAATTGTGTGCAGGGAAACAGATCAGTTGTAGACTATACTGAGGAATGGTCCAGACTTTCTGTTCGGAATAATCTAAGCGAGTCAGAGGTGAAACAGGTTTCCAGGTATTTGGGAGGATTAAAGCCATCCATTCGAGATAAGATTGGACTGTATGTGGTGTGGACGGTAGATGAGGCGCATAACCTGGCACTAAAAGTAGAATTGATGGAGAAAACGTTCGCTCGTTCTTCCAACTATAAGAAGGACATGTGTGAGTCATCTTACACAATGGCGAATAGAGGTAGATTCACTCCTGGTGAAGTCCATACTCCTTCTAAGTCTGTTGCTGATCAGGCCCAAAGAAGTGTTATCCCCAATAATAACCACGCTGGGACTCGCCCAGCAACATTAGCAAAGGAAGCCCCGCGAGCGCCAAATTCATATACTAAACCTGCTGGTTTTAAGTGCTACAGATGTGGCCAACTGGGTCATCGCTCGAATGAATGTCCAGCCAAGAGGTCAGTGAATTTTGTGGATGCTGGAGAGGATGGTGAAGAGGAGCAGTATGTGGAGGAAGGGGCTAAAGTGGAGGAACTATTGGATGGAGCAAAAATTGTAGAAGAGCAAGGAGAGTTTGTAAACTGTGTGGTTAAGCATGTCATGTGCTCAACAAAGGTGGAGGAGTCCTTGCAGAGAAATAATATTTTTAAGGTTTGTTACAATGTGCAAGGTAAGGTCTACGATTTGATTGTCGATACTGGTAGTTGTGAGAACTTCGTGTCCAAGAGGCTGTGCATCTGAAGTTGCAGGTTGAGAAGCATCTGAAACCTTATGTGATTGGGTGGATTCAGAAGGGGCCTAAGGTGAGTGTGACAGAAGTTTGTAAAGTCCCTATCTCAATTGGCCAGCACTACCAAGATGAAGTGGTTTGCGATGTCGTAGACACGGATGCTAGCCATGTGTTGTTGGGGCATCCTTGGCAGTTTAAGGTGGATGTGGCCTATAGGGAGCATGATAATGTGTATGTTTTCAATTGGAAGGGTAAAAAAATTGCCATGGTCCCAAAACGAAACCCAACTGTCCCTACTATGGTTACCAAAGAAGGTCAACCTCTACTTTCTTTAGTAACTTCAGTAGCTGATTTCGAGTCAGAGGTGAAGGAAGCACAGGAGGTCCATGTGGTGGTAGTACGAGCCCTCATGATAGAGGAGAAAAATCAATCTGAGGTGGTGATACCAGGAGCGGTGCAGTCCCTTTTGGATGAGTTCAGCGAGCTGGTATCTGATGAGTTACCAGATGACCTCCCACCTTTGAGAGACATTCAGCACAGTATTGACCTGGTGCCTGGAGCAAGTTTGCCGAATATGCCTCATTATCGGATGAGTTCGAAGGAAAATCAGATCTTGCAGGAGAAGGTAGAGGAGTTACTGAAGAAGGGGTTTATTCGTGAGAGCATGAACCCTTGCGCTGTGCCTACCTTATTGGTCCCAAAGAAAGCGGCAGTTGGAGGATGTACGTTGATAGTCGCGCTATTAATAAAATCACTGTTCGATATAGCTTCCCAATTCTGAGACTGGATGACATGTTGGATATGCTGGATGGTTCGAAGTTGTTCTCCAAGATCGACATTCGAAGTGGGTACCACCAGATTCGAGTTAAACCCGGGGATGAATGGAAAACAGCATTCAAAACTAAGGATGGGCTCTATGAACGGTTGGTGATATCTTTCGGGCTGTCCAACGCGCCAAGTACTTTTGTACGAGTTATAAACCAGGTATTGCGGCCTTTCATTGGAAAATATCTAGTGGTTTACTTTGATGATATATTGATTTATAATCATAGTGAGGAGGAACACATGAAGCATCTTCGAGCTGTGCTAGCGGTGTTGTTAGATAACAAACTGTTCACTAATTTGAAGAAGTGTAGTTGGTGGACAGAGCGACTTTTATTCCTGGGTATGTAGTCGTTCCAAGGGGATAATGGTTGATGAGGAAAAGGTGAGAGTCATTCGTGATTGGCCTGCATCGAAGATAGTTGGAGAAGTAAAAAGTTCTCACCAATTGGCGACATTTTACCGGAGATTTATCAAGGATTTCAACAGCATTGTGGCTCCCATTACAGAGTGTCTGAAGAAAGGTAAATTCCAGTGGGGTGAAGCAGCTAGCACAGCCTTTGCAGTCATCAAGGAGAAATTGTGTTCCACTCCTGTCCTTGCACTATCCAGTTTTGAGAAGTTGTTCGAAGTAGAGTGTGATGCTAGTGGAATTGGGGTCGGAGCGGTCTTGTCACAAGAAGAGAAGCCAGTGGCATTTTTCAACAAGAAACTTAGTGATGCACGGCGAAAGTGGAGTACATATGACCAAGAATTCTATGCAATTGTTCGGGCCTTGAAACATTGGGAGCACTACCTGATTCAGCGAGAGTTTATACTCTACACCGATCATCAGGCTTGGAAGTACTTGAACAGCTAGAGAAATTTAAGTAACATGCATGCTCGATGGTCAACTTATTTGTAGAAATTCCCATTTGTTCTTAAGCATAAATCCGGAGTTTTGAATAAGGTAGCAGATGCCTTGAGCCGACGTACAAGCTTACTGGTAACCATGGAGTAGGAGTTTATTGGTTTTGAGTATCTGAAAGACTTATATGTGGAAGATGAGGATTTTGCGGAAGTGTGGGGAAAGTGTGTTCTGAAACAAACAGATGGCGAGTTCCATTTAGTTGATGACTACCCGTTCCATGGCAACCAGTTGTGTATTCCGCGGACTTTGAGGGAGAAACTGATATGAGAACTACATGGTGGCGGCTTGAGTGATCACTTGGGATGTGATAAAACTATCAGTGAGGTAGCCGAGCGATATTACTGGCCTCAGTCATTTTTGGGTTACACTATGGCGGCGGATGGATACTACTCTGAAGTTCAGTAGCACAGCACACCCGTAGACTGATGGGCAGAACGAAAATCTGAACAGGACACTGGGGAATTTTATACTCAGCATTTGTGGTGATAAGCCAAAGCAGTGGGATGTGGCGCTGGCGCAGGCCGAGTTCGTGTATAATAATGCAATCCACACTGCCACTGGTAGATCCCCTTTTTCTTTGGTGTATTTGAAGCCTCCTAAACATGCATTGGACTTGGCTCACCTCCCTAAGGTTGCCAGTTCCAATGTGGCTGCTAAAGATATGGCTGAACAGGCTCGTGATGTTCAGGCGAAAGTGAAGGGTCGATTGGAAGAAAAAAATGCGAAGTATAAGGCTACGACAGACAGTGAGAGGCGTGAGAAACTATTTGTGGAAGGTGATCAAGTGATGGTATTTCTGCGCAAGGAACAATTTCCTGTTGGTTCCTATAACAAGCTGAAGCCGAGAAAATATGGGCCATACAAGGTGATCAAGAAGATCAATGACAATGCATATGCGATCGACCTGCCTGCTAATATGAACATCTCTCGCACCTTCAATGTGGTTGATCTGTATGAGTTTCGTGATGATGTTCCACTCTATCTAGAATATAACTCGGGGTCGAGTTCTTCACAGGTGGGGGAGACTGACATAGGACAACCAGCTTTGGAGTTTGAAGAAGTGTTGGACAGAAAATTAACAAAGAAAAATTGCACTAGGGGCAATTTTGTCATTTGTCACGACGGTGTCGAAATGGGCTGAAATTTGGCAGGTTGATTAGAAACGGCCCGAGAAATTGGACTCAGGGTGGAGAGATCTCGGGATTTTAGCCAAATCCCTTCGTTTAGGCCTCTGAATAATTAATTTCCGTATTTCCCGTTTTGAATTTTTGCCATTTTTGGAATGTTTTATTTTTTCTATGTTTTAGGGTTTCTTGTAATGCCTATTTAATGGCTTTTGGAACTTTTTCCATCATCATTGAATAATATACAAGTTTCATTCTTGGAGAATTCCAATTTTCTTATTTACAAGATTTGTGAATCTTTTGTTTTCTTACTTCCGTTCTGCGTCAACGGCTGACATATTATTTTCTGCTATAGCTAGCTCTTCAAATCCCTTCCTTTTTGAACAAGCAATTCTTGTTTGTAGCCGTTAAAGTCTCTCCACTTCTATGTTACCCTTAATTTTAATCCTAAAATATTTGGACATGTATCGACGGGATAATTTTGTATGGAACTTTTCCAATAATAGATCTCTTTGTAAAAATAGAATATCGTATTACCTTTAAAAAAAGGCATAATTAAATGTAACTTGAAGGGGTTTAGTTTTTTCAAGGTATTATTTAGGATTTGTTTGAGCCTCATTTTTTGCGAGCATAGATTTTTTAATAGTTAATTTTTAGAGAATGTGATTAACAAATAGAGAAAATTTTCGTTTACGTATAAAATTTATTTTATTGAAAAAGTATTAGTTAAAAATGAATAAAAACAAGTAAATTTTTTTAAAGAATGTGGCTCAAACATAGGCTTAATATTGAATAAGGGGACCACTAAAAAGTGAATCAAAAAAGTGAATTTTTTTTTTTTT